TGCATTATTGTTTCACATGAGACATTAGAGTGTTTATATTTTGAATGGTGCTTTGTTGATCTGTGGTACTAAGCTTTGAATAGAGTTTTTCGGTTTCACGTATCAATTCAAAGGTACAAAGGTACATCATGCAATATGTCTCTGCAATTATGAGTTTTATGTATGTAAAGTTTGATCAAGTATTAATCTTATAAGGATATCATTGTGGATTCTCTAATTTGCCTATGTGCTCTTATAAACTGTGAAATAAAATCCGGTGGTGTGATGAAAAGCCATGAAGTGGACATTTGTAATCAGATTTGAGCAAGATATGAAAGCCGCAAAAGTGATGTGAGTGTACACTAATTGGAAAAATTCAAGATCAAGATTACATATATCACACCAAACAAATATATCACATTAAATGTGTTGTAATCTTTCATGACAGTGGATCATACATAGAGAACAGTTATGCTTCCATGTGGTGTTTCGATCATCAGTTTGAAATAATTTGCAAGTGCGAGATTTATCAGGAAACAATGAAGGGGCAAATCTGGTATGAATAAACAACCCATTTTCTTATTTCTATTTTTTGAAAAGATGTTTCTTGGTTTGTGAATTAATTGTTTGATCCGTTTATGGGAGAACGGTTTAGAAAGAAAAGATCCAAGAAGGTAAAATGGGAGAAATATGGTAAGCGTAAGTCTTTTATACCACATTGTCAGCAATTGTTCGAACGTTGCTGTCCCACATTGGAACAAGAAACCAAGACTAAACCTATCTATAATTAAATTTAAATTATGCATGTATATTTCATCAAGGAGAAGAACATGCTGGCCATTCTCAAGTAAGAACGAGGAAAACGAACATGCTGGCTATTCTTCCTCGAGTCACGTTTTTTTTTTTTTGTGCTTCTTTTAGGTTTTGCGACTTCAACTGGATATTTTTCGTGTTCACTTTAACTCGGTGTTGTTATTTGTGAATCTATTGATTGTGAGCGGAGCTTGGGTGATCGAGAACGAGGAGCAGCTAGAAACTCAGCCATTCAAAGCTTATGATGTGGTCATGATCTTGAATGGGAACATAAACTAATTCCTTATCATTCTAGGTATTGGTTTATGCCTAAAGGGAACCATATTTCTAACTTGAGGAATTTAACTATTGCTTCAGTTTTCAGTTTGAATGATATTGGGAATAGAGGAACACTACGGTGACACGAAACTTTGGTTGAGAGAATAAAATATTTTAGAGAAACACAAGTTTTGTATAATTGTGTCTTCTCGATGTGCGATTTGGGAAAAAGGCGTAGTGAGCATTGTGTTATGAATTAAAAGAGAAAATGTAAGAGATTTTTCATATTGTAGAAGAGTGTCTCGAGGAATGGAGGGTAAAAAACTAAATGATCATATTTCGTAAATGGTTTAGATGCTGATGGGATTATGATACATATTAATTGATCGAAGAGTTTACGAGTTCATTAGGAGATAACATATTCAAACCATACTGTGAAAAGAAGAGTTAGGATTCTCATATTTTTCGCCAATTAATATGGTATAACTTTGATACATTGTGCCTCAAGTAAGAAGTGTGGTACATAGATTACCTCGATGCAATAGTTACATATTTCGTTAAGTTATTTGTGGTTACAAGGAGAAGAAATTCAAAGATGTTAGAGGCAAACTATATTATAAACAAATGCTTAAGGATAAAAAATGTCCGAACATAGTGAAGACACTGACAGTAGTAAAGTTTGAGAAGAATTAAGGTAAAGAGGATGAGTAGAAGAAGAAGAAGAGATATATTTTTTTGGAGGAAGAACAAAGAGGACTATATATAGTAGAACAAGAAGAGGGAGAGGAAAGACAAAGAAAAGATATAAAGGATAAGGAGCCATAAAAGCAAGATTTGTAAGAAGGATTTGTCATTAATTTTGATCTATGAAAAGAAAATGCAAGAATATGGTTCGGAACTCACGACTGAGAATATACAAAAGATTATGGTGCACGAAAATTAGGCTTTTGCATAAAACAAAGAAACTGGTTTTGGGAAACGTAGGGCATAGGGAAGGGTTTGACAAAAGAAGAGAAAAGCGTATTTTGAGAGTAAAGAGATACGAGATTTCTATGAAAGTAGCCATAAATGAGTGATAAGATTTAGTTAAGTTCTGAGAGTAATTAGTTAGAGAGTTTTTGGTAGGCTTAAGATTTAAAAGTGAGTTCATAAGAGATATTTTTTATTTAATCTTCTGAACTATTATTTTATTTTTTTTTTTGCAGATGATGTGACAGAGTTGTTGTGAAATCTAAAAAAATAGTGAGAGAAGTTGCAAGAATAGGTAATCTAAATTCTCACTTCGGAGGATAACTAATAAGCGGAAATGACGAAGTTAGACGATTGTTTTTCATTACATAGCATCACATGATTATCTAAATCACTTGACTGGTTTTCGCGTGTTATATGAAAGAAATATATATTAGTTTCGTATAACTCAACACTTAATGTTAAATGTATAATATATCATATTATGTGTTCGTTATTCGAAATAAGTAATTAGTGTTGTGTTGAATGTAAAATCTCGATTTACAATCTTAAATTGTTTGATATTACCGTCCCGTGCAATGCGCGGATACTTACCTATTATATTGATATTGAAATGATTGGTAGATTAATTATCGGAAAAAAAAAAATCAACGGTTTATTCTGGACACCTAAATACGTGAAGGTCTTTGTTGGGATTAAACAATTAAATGTTGACGGCCAACAAAAAAAAAAAATGAAAACAGTTTGATGTTTTTAATGATATTTTCTTCAAGACGTTAATATTATGCTTTCCCACAACATTTATATATTTGGCACAAACAGGTTCATATGCTAATAACAGACTGATGAGAAGCTTATACTCTTTTAGCCACTTTCAATCCAAAAAGCTTGTAAACGACCTGATGCTTATGATACTCCATTGGAATCGAATCAGGCATCGATGTCTCCTTCAAACCCGCGCATACATTCTCGTTAAGATTAAATTGTAACCTACCACAAGCTAATTGGCTTCCCTTAGATTCTCATCTACAAGATAGTTCTCTATTATTTCATCAACAGGATCTACAATTGTATCTACCTTCCTACCCTTGTATTTTGTATCACTGAAAAAGTCGAAGATTTCTTTATCGGCGGCTAATCCTTCTCTTCTCATTTGATCGAAAACTTCTCTCGCCTCCACGAATTTCTTCCTCTTGAAGAATCCTTTGATAAGAGCGCTATAGGTGTTGGCGGAGACACTAAATCCTTTCTCGTTCATTTCTCGGAACAAAAACCATGCTTCCTTCATGTTCCTAGCCTTGCAATGGCCTCTAATTAGATTCTCATACGTCTTACCATCAGGTCCTACTTCCCGAGAACACATGTCCCTATAAATCGCAGTTGCTGCCTTCAGATTATCTCTGATGCAATACTGCTTCACGAGAGAATTATATGTGGTTGCATTAGGCGCTATACCTTTTGCCAACATCCAATTAAGAAGCTTCTCACCGTCTTCCAACATCCCATTCAAACAAAAGCCATTCATTAGGACGTTGAATGTGACAACAGTCGGTTGAAGCCCTTTCCCGAGCATCTCCTTCAGAATCTCTTGAGCCTTATCCATCTCCCCTGCTTTACAGTAGGCATCCATTAAAGTTGTATAAGTGACAGTGTCTGCATTAACTCCAGCAGCTTCAAAGTCTCCAACAAGTTTAATCGCTTCCTCGATATTTCCCGACTTACATAGACCATTGACAATGCAGTTATAAGTAAAAATATTTGGTTGCAGACCTATTTTCCACATTTCATGGAGAAGATCGTTCGCCGACTCTAAATCCCCTTCTTTACAGAGCCCATCAATTAACGTGGTATATGTGACAACATTCGGGGAGCAACCAGCATGAATCATGTGATTGTGGACGCTAAACGCATCCCTTATCTGCCCTGCTTTGCAGTATCCATTTATAAGTTCAGTAAAGGTAATGCTATCCGGTTCTAAACCCCTCGAACGCATTTCATGGAATAGTTTACCAGCCTCCACCATGTCACCAATCTGACAAAACCCTGATATAATCGCAGTATATGTCAAAACATCTGGTGTAATACCCAGAGAGTGCATCTCATAAAAAAACTTCGATGCAGCCCGAATATACCCTCGTTTGCAGAAACCATCAATAAGAGTAGTGTATACCACAGTGTCGGGAACTATGCCCTGCCCTATCATCTCTCGAAAAGCCTCCTCTGCTTCGGCTAGCTTACAAGTCCTGCAGAGCAAGAGAATTATGCTACCATAGGTATAAGAATTTGGATTCAACCCCTTCTGTTTCATTTCTTCAATGAGCTTCCAAATCTTATCAAGTTCCCCAAATCTACAGTATCCATTTATCACTGTACTGTAACTGATCACATCCGGGACAAAGCCCTTCAACTCCATAAGCAGAAGTAGATGGTGGGCTTCATTTATTCTCCCAAGTTGACAAATACAATGAATAACGATGTTATAAGAAGCAACATTCCAACAAACACCGACTTCAGGAAATTCCCTGAATACAACGATTGCTGTTGCCGATTGATTGCAGTCTTTCGAAATTCGGTCAAGGTATAAGTTGCAGGAATCAACAGATAGAACCAATCCGTGATTCAACATCTTCTCAAAGACTTTTCTCGCTTCACGGAGCAATCCAAACTCAACGAGGACTTGGAAGAAAACATCGAATACACGAGGATCCGAACCCCAGTCCTTGTAAGTGTATACTAAAAGATCAAAAAACTGTACAAAGGAATCGTTAACATTCAACTTTGGCCTCTCCCAAAAACTGCTTATGAGAGAATGAGCCACTTTTAAATCCTTCGATGCAACAGCCAAATGAATGACAATGCAAAGGGATTCAAGGTTGGAGTCTCTGCGAGAGCGAGCCCAATCAAAGAAATCAAGAACTAACCTGTAATCAGACTTAATCTTCATCAGAACCCAAATCAAGTGATCAGTCTTGAACTTGCATTCATAAAGCTTCAAACTCCGTCTCAGAGGCTCAGCACGACGCAGCTTAATCACATTTGTGATTTGGTGTACCAATTCAGTGTCTCTAACTGAAGCTTTCTTCGGAGAATAATCAGGAAAAGGTCTCGTATCAGTTATCGTTGAGAAACTGAGTCCACTAGCTTTGANAGTATCTCTAAAAGACCCAAGTGTAAAGAGCTTAATGAAATTTCCGAATACAGAAATAGTACCTCTCTTCATCACAGATATGGCTGCTTCATCGCTCCATCACAAACCCAGAAACATACCGCGAGCTAAGTACACAATCGATGACCAATCATTCGTTCGATTCGGACAAAACCTAAAATCTCTGAATCAAAAACTTGACCCGCCCAGAGCGGGTAATGGGGTTTCGATGTGCGTTCGTTTGGTGTAAAAATCGATAAATTGAAGGAATTGCAACGAGAAAGTGTAAAAATTTTGAACTTTTCTTTCACGAAGCAGAGACACTGTTTCTGAAACGGCGGCCGCCGATTGAGTTGAGAACGACGATTGATTTTAGGATTCTGGTTGCAAACGGCGCCGGGAAATGCAAAACGGTCATGGTAAAGAACAAAACGATTACAACCACTTTAGGCCCAATAAAGAAGCGCACTTAGGCCCATATAGACCACTGAAAGTGAAGAGCTAAATACCAAAAATGGCCTTTGACTGGATTATCAAGGTCTTGGGGGTGTATCTAGTCAAATTTTAAGACGTTTTCAGGTGAATTTTGTAATTGTTTGTGCAAATGTTTCTGGCGGCTAGTCAATCATTTGATTAAAAAAAAAAATCCTTCAATCACATGGCATGGCACATATAGAGTTTTTTCATCAAAACATGACAACATAATTTTCAATAAGATTCAATCC